GTTTAAGTCCGTCCTTGAAGTCTTGACGTATAGACTCGCTGCAGATAGCATTAGCATTAGGTTAGCTAGCTGCTTTACATCACTTTCACTCTGTTTGTTTGAATGTGGAATCAGTCTTGTGATTACTATCTGTCAGATTTGTTACTAATGCACATAAAGCTGTACGCTGTGTCAGTATAGCAGCAGAGGGCCTCTGCACAGTTCCACTCAGATCAATAAAACCATCTCAGCTCAGTGACACTTATATTACAGCACTAAAGTACTGTATAATTGGCTCAATGTAAATAAAGTAAATGTTGTGCCAAATGATGTTTTAAACAGCACTGTGATTTACAAGTGGTCTTACTTTTACAGTACTTTCCTTTAAGCTATAAATCGCCCCCGGCTGAGTGAGTGTCTGGTTCAATCATCACACCATTGTAGAATAAGGAAACACAACTTAACAAGGTCCTAAATGTTAGTCTGTTCTGACTGATTGTTTATCTCCATCCCTGTTGAAAGAAAGGATCAAGCAAATGACTGAAAAATCTAGACAATTGCTTACACAAGGTTTCTGTCTCCCTCTTTGTGAATGACAAGCAATTAGGTTTTTCTCCCTCACTGCACTCGCTGTTTGAGCAGAAAAACACCAAAGCAAGTGTTCATTCCACTCCCCATCACTCACAGCCAGGCTGGTGTTAGGATTCCTGAAGTCCAGACAGTTTAAACCAATACCTGTAGTCTCCTGGTGCTCTCCTGCTCCAGTGGGACCACAACAAACATGATGTGCCTCCAAACCTGAGAGTGAATCTTTAGAGCACATGAAAGAGGTTTTATTCTTGACAACTCAAAGTAGTAAACAAGGAAGCTTTTGTCTCCGTATACAATCTTAGCAACATTCCAAGTCAGGCTGCTGCGAACTTTTTAAACACACATTTCATGAAAAACAGATGTGTTTAGATGAAGTCATGATTATGTAACTAATTATCATCCATTCTGAACAACCACTGTTACAAATGTATCTGAGGTGGTTCAAGCAGTTTATGGAGGCAACGTGTCGCTGGTGTGTTAACTCTGTTCTGTATCAGAACAGAATTGGAGGCTGAATAACAATACTCCATCATCTGTTAGTATAACAAATAACAGTAACTAACTTCTGCCTCATTCTCTAACTCATCATCTGTCCTTTCTAATGTTGACTCCTACCCTTAATTAGTTAGATATGCTCTTAAACATCATACATTATTCAAACAACTGAGGATAATGTTATGAAACAACTCAATAGAAATGTATCAGAGAGGTCTTGTTTTTTGTGTCTTTATTTTGTTTATTCTGTTAACTGTTGTCAGACATATTCAAACGTTCCTTTTTCAGATTAAAAGGACATTTGCTAACACTGATTTTACTTTTCTATTGGTCCTGGTTTATCATACTGCAGCAAACATAGATATGATTTACTGCATGAAAGTTCTTGTCTGCATACAGAAGATGAAGCATCTTCTTTTTTTTTTCAAGACACATTAGGTTGCGTATCAGCATTTCTCTCTCTCTCCACCAAAATAACATCCAAAGCAAAGAAGCCCTTACAGAAGAACCCAGGATTTACTCATGGTGTGCGCATGTGATCACATGAGTATGTAGTAGTATGGAAACTTGTACTATACATGGGCTTCAAATTAAACATTATGGAAGTGTTCCAAAATGTTGTGTTTTTTTTTTTTTGTGAGGTAGTCCGGGCTTTTCAAACAATGCAAACAGCTGTGGCTCATTTGGTAGAGTAAGTTCTCTCTCAGCCGGAAGGTTGGGGGTTCAATCCCCAGCTCCTGCAGCAACATGTCCGATGTGTCATTGGGCAAGACTGTTAACGTTAATGTTAACGTTAACTTGTATGAATGGGATGAATTACTTTTGATGGTCACTTTTAGCAGCCTCTGCCATCAGTGTGTGAATGGGTAGATGTGATGTGCGTTGTAAAAGCACTTGAGTAGACTAAATAAGCACGATATAAGCTCAAGTCCATTTACCATCTGAAGAAGTTGCCTTTAACACGTATCCTGAATCTGCTAAACTGATCATTTCTTACATTTCTGGACATCCACCTTTTTAAGAGAACATTCTCTTATTTTGGAAAATACAGGAAACAAGGTTCAAACCTTATTAACTGACTTTTATCCTAAATGTATCAGTTATGTCTGGAGAGAAGATGAGTAGCCGTAACTATTGGCCATTAGAATAGTACTGTATCTTTTTAGAAGTTGTTAATATACTTTTCAGAAGTCACCCAGAAAAAAATAATTTCCATGGTTAGTTTTTTTCTGCTGAAATCCATTTCTCTTATGACCCTGCTCAGGTGAAAGTGGGGACCATTTCCTGTCCAGTATTCTGTGTAGTATAAATGTGTATCTTACATGCATTTCACACAAGTGCACAAACTCACACACAGAGACACGTGTGCTGGTGTCAGTGTGTTCAGTCATGCTTGGCTTGATGTCTGCACCTTAACAAGACATCTGTGCCAAGGTCAAGCAGGTGCCCATTTGTATCCCTAGCACTGGAGACCCATGGGCTTTATGGGTACTTAACAGACACATGCAGTGAGAACAAGTGCATCTGTCTCATTAAAGCCCTCTAAATATTTCATTCAGGCCCGAGCCGAGACTGTGACTGAAATATGTGGTATCATAACTACGCTCACAGGAAATGTTAGCCCCATTGCAGTAGAGGCGCGAGAATTCATCAATTCTTTATGTTTGCTGTGCAGTCTTTGAGAGTCGGGTGGCGTCATATTTTCTTTAAGACATTTAAATTTTTAATGTAAACACTTGCAACAAATTGTCCCCCAAGGGCAATTACAGCATGAACCCACTGAAGAATTTGCTAAGCTATGATAACGTGTCATCAGCTACATTTTCTCTGTCGTATTTGCAAGTGTTAAACAGTGACATCTATTTATTTTCATATCCTCAAGAACACCGATATTTATGTGCCAGTGTGGGACAGACAAGTTGTGTAATGCACAACTGAAGTACTGGATTGGATTTAAAAGTCAGCTTAGTTTGAGTGGTAATCAGTAGATATATTACATTTAGCAGAAATGAATGAATTCAATTAAAAGAGGCACAGCACGTCTTCATGGTGACATTTTGTTGTTCAATGGTGACTGTTAAACATAAGTCCCGGGAAGTCTTGCATCTTGTTTTATAGCACTCAAAATAACACCATCTGTGCTATGCATGTTATACTCTGACCTCCAACATGCAGGTGTAAAGTACCGCCTGTTCATCATCAGCGCCTCTACTGTTGAATGAAAACATACTGTAGCTTCTACTCCTGTTAAAGGTCAACTATACACCACCCCACTGCCCTGTGGACACAGCATAGAAACACTGACTTATGCTGGATAGAATGTCCATAATACAGCATGAGTGTCAATACTACACAAGCTGTTCCTGGGTCTTATATGTATGCAGAACTCGACTATATCTTTGAATATAACACTGTATATAGACGGCTGTATTTTTGGGTGATTGAATGAAATACATGATTTTAGTGCTTTATCAAACTGTATTAAAAAGAGGGCATGGAGATGAAAAAAAACGGAGGCCCATAAAAAGCCTTAATTCACAGGATACATACAATCAATAGAAATCATCACAACAGAGACTTTGTTCTCCACTCCCTGACATTTCTCATTTCTAATAGAGCTTTGACTGTTCGTGCAGATCCATTTTGTGGCATCTTACAGATTGTATTTAAAGTGTTGTGATCGTGAGGCCCTGTGGCCTGTCTGGTGGCCTTTCCCAAACGGTGACACTCAGCACCAACATGCGTTAGGCGCTGTCTCCGGTGCTAAATTGACTCAGACTGTTTCTACCCCAAGGCGCTGTCCGTGGTCCTGAATCTGATTCTGCATGGATCTAAAGGTGCCGTCAGACGCTGTCCAACACAGATCACATGGGAATACAATCCCAAACAACAGCCGAATTTATTTTTCTTTATCAACAGACTCGATACTTCCCAAGCTGTCTCCATATGCCTTGCTTATTCCAAGCACTGTCTGCTACTGACCAGCTGAACCCTCGAAGTTCAAATGCTCTTGCTTTGACTGAAAGCTTTTCTGGGTCGAATAATTTACCGTCCTTCACTTCAATTTACAACTGTCACATCAGAGCTCATCATTTTAACCAAAGGGACACGGCTTACCTCGAGTGTCATGCACTACACCACGACACACACTCACAGACACACACACACACACACACACACACACACACACACACACACACACACACACACACACACACGTCACACATTTCCAGGATCTACAACCATTTGTTGGCGCGGATTTGGTAACACTGCTCATTACGCATATTTGTATTCACAGCCACGAATCATACATAGAAGCTATAAACAAACTGTCCTTGTCATTCTTTCATTGCTCGTTATTTTTATCGGGATCAGTTTCTCAGGGAGCTCCTGGACCTTTCTGTCAGGGAGTGTAAACCTCCAAGGAATCAAGGATATCAGAGTCCCGAAATATGTTTAGTGTCAATTGAAAAGGGGACTTAATATTCCTTTCTTCCCCACTAAGACAGCTTTTGTTTTTACAATGTAACCTGCTTTTATTCAATTCATTCTAGTTTGTGTGAGAGTTCGATTCCCGGAATAAAACCACAAATAAACTGAGTTCAGGTGGATTTGCGTCAGCTAAAAATGTTCCTGTCGTCTTATCTTGCTCTCACTCTCTTCCTTTCCCGTCCCCTTCTTTTCAGGTCGCTATGTTACATTCTGCAAGAGGACAGCGCAATAGCAATTTTTCTATTTAATGATGCAATATGCATTCAGTCTTCTCACTGACTTAATGTACCAGTTTCCATCCGTTTTAACTGTGACATACATCGTATTAAGGCGTTGGTTCTTTAGAAATTATTTGTCTCTGAAAACAGGCCGTTAGAGCTGCTTTAAGAACTTTTAAACAATGCTTATTCATTACGTGCAAGCGATTGTGCCGGAGTCCTTACCTCACTGGGCATGACAGCTAACATCACAAGTAGGAACATGGCACTGAAGAGATGCATCCCAGTTGAAATGATAGCGTCCCAACCGACACCAGTCCCGCAGCTGTCCCCGCCGTTCTTGTCCCTTACTGGGGCGGTTTCTTCGGATACAGCGGGATTCCTTTAACGCTTCGTCGGCTGTGCGCCACCAACCTCATCACCGGGACGCACGGCAGCCCTCTCTGGCTCTGCAAAAGCGACCAGCCGCAGGTTTTCTCTGGAGCATAGACTCTTCTGTTGGTAGCAAAAGCGGAAAAGCGCCAATCTCTCAACGTGGGAAAGTCCTCAGATTGGTGTAATCGGGAAAGGTGAACAGTCAGAGGTCCCTCTCTCCGTCCTGCAAAATATCTGCGAGCGAGCGAGAAGAGCGGAGGAGAGGCGCAGAGGTTGGAAGGTGACTGCTGTGCTTGCAAGGTGCCGACGCTAGGAGCAGCACGTCTGTGTGCAAGAAGCCCAGTCAAAGAAGTACCACTCTTTGACGCAGCCAAGCTTGGCCATGCGCGCGTGCGTCTGCATGCATGTGTGTGGATCTGTGTGTGTGGATCTGTGTGTGTGTGAGTGAGAGGGGAGAGAGAGAGAGAGAAATCCCTGCTTGCACTGACAATATTTTTGCTCCCCTGACTGAAAGACTAGATAGATAGATAGATAGATAGATAGATAGATAGATAGATAGATAGATAGATATAAACAATGGAAAATGTTTCCTCTACAATGACTGATACCTCTGGAAAGAGCTGACATTTAGCATTGATAATGTGTGTGAATAATAACTGTGTACTTTAAAGGAGTGACTGTCAGCCATACATGAATATCATCAATTCAGAGCTGACGCAGGTCCCATTAAGAGATGCCAAATCAGAGTGATTCTCTGGGGTTTAGGGAAATGATAAAGATTGTTCTTGCCCGCTTACAATGAGGATAATGAATGTCGTTAGCTAACAGAGATAATTAAATGATGGCTTGGCATTCTAATCAGTTATTTTTCAGGGCAGGTGTGGTTATGAATGAGAAAGCACACACAGCAACAGTATGCTCTTATCTGTATTTGTGTGTCCACATGAACTCCGTCACAGTTATTGGATGGTGTTGGTCTATGAATCATCTGTTTGGATGACAGGACTGCGTTTACAGCTTCCGGTGTAGCATGAAAAATGAAAACAGCGTATGAGGCCTGTTCTATCGGCAGCACGCAGTAAAAGCTCAGCTTCAATAAAACAAACTATTTTCAAAGGTAAATGCGCAACATGTCATTGAGGGAGAGTTTCTTTAATGAGCAAACAATGTTAGAGAGGCAATTAGAAAACATAAAAACACAGTTTCTGGGAAAACTTGTGTTTAGCCCCCCCCCCCCTCCACACACACACACACACACTTGGTTATTAATTCATTCAAAGAGATTAAGCTAAATATATACAGCCAAGGAAAACAAAATGCACTCTTTAGTGACAGCTCAATTCAGTGCAATTCAAACAACTTTATTAATCCCTCTAGAGGAAAATGTTTATTGAATAACAATTATGTTGTTGTTTCTTTAAAAAAGCGGTATATTTTGTCTTATTTGTTTTCATTCCATTCTTCCTTAAAGGTCAACAATACAATTTGTCATATTTTTTAAACATTTTTAAAACTGTGTTCTCGGTTCATCTCAGATTCAGAAAGCATTTTTCAGCAGACAGTGTGATGCCGTGTGTTTTCCAGCCTCTGCCCTTGTAAGGTTCAGTAGAGGCCCCGACTTTCTCCACCCCTGCTGCTGCCCTCAGTGCCATGGTGCACACCCCTCTATTTTCCCAGCAGGAAAAACAACATGGAGGTGAAATGAGTTGCTCAGGGGCGGCGGAGGAGCTAGGGGTGGTGTGTGAGAAAGAAAATAAAAAATGCAGGGATCACTTCTTGTTTTCACCACGGCTCTTCTCTTTTACTGTACAGTCCTGGCTTGTGCCTCTGCTCAGACACATACAGTAAGAGCATGAAGCTGAGAATACCAGCGAAGCCCAAGGCTGCCAGGGTGAGTAAAAGTGATGATGAGTCACTTCATGGGGTCAGAGTGCCAGTGTGCTTAATGGTCATGCTGAGGAGAATGATGCACTAACACACTCCTCCCTTCCCCATGGTCGCTCTCCTCCATCTCCAGCCCTTGTCACAGTTTGGAGACCTGGGGCGCTCAGGGAGCTAGGGGGAATGTTTCTGAGGTAAATGCAAACAAAGCATAACCCATTTGTCAAAGATGCAGAATATGTTTTTCTCTTTTTATCCCAGGGTCATACCAAAGAGGCCAAGAGGAAAGGGAAAATAGACCCTCAGGGCTTCTGTGTGTCCACTCAGGAAGGCAGAATCTCTCACTTCCTGTCACCTCACATGTGACTGCACTGTGTAAGGCAGATGTGGCACTAAAATCACAATTTGTTTTGCATTCCCACCAGTGTAGACCTTCTTTTGCTTCTCGGAAATCTTGTTGTGGTTTCCCCTTGGTGTTTATTTCACTCAGCAACTCGTAAGTGATGATTATAATTTATGCTTCAATTTCTCTCTCGATGGTTAAGTGTTGGAGTCTGTGGCTTAAAGATTAAAAGTGATGCAACATGCAGGTATCTCCTAGTTTTGAAGTAGCCTGGCGTGTGTGTGAGCAAGCGAGGTAGAGAGAAAGAGAGGGAGAGAAAGGTTCCCTCCACTTTCCTATAGGCACTCTGCACTCTTGCAAGAATGCGTGATTGGACTGCTCCATTGGACCAGTGTTGTTTCATTTTATAGATTTTCTATGTGCAGAAAGTGATGCTCCCCAAATAATTCAAATCAAAGGACATATTGAATTCACACACAGTGACAATGAGCTGTACTAGAGAACAGAGCTGGACTAGAGGAGCTCACAGTTTGCTTCATTGTTATGTTAAATATTAGACATGTGGATCGGCCCAATGAGTGAGTCGATTGTAGATCATCACAGACATACACAGACAGTCTAATTGGATTTCGCGGAGTTGGTTGCTCTATCCATCATGCAAAAAGTGAAGTCTGTCCCATAGCAGAGCTTGTGGTTGTTATTGATCTTCATAATGTTACTGCTGCTGCCACTGATGCTGAGTTATTATGCAATAGGACTGAGAGACCGTATGTTTCCTGAAACTATCCACAATTTGAAATCTGCATTAGCTATTGCAGTGGAAACAACAATGGGACTCTCAGTCTTTGGATTGCATTTGAATACTCACTGAACAAGCAGTCTGTCAGATACAAACACTCTTCAGCACAACAACAACAACAACATGTGAATCAACACACAGATGGAGAAGTGTTAACCCAGACACTCCTGCAAACATAACACAGAAATCCAAGCCAACATGGAGGCTTAGTGGGAACCTCACAACAGCATCATCTCACACTCGTATTCCTAATGAATGTCTGGTTGTCTTGAGCCGATGTAAACATCACGAAACACCTTGTTCTGCAGTCCTTAAAAGTGCAATGTCTTTGAAAAGGCAAATGGACTGCCACAGCTCGCTCTCGCTGCCTGCTGAGTTTGTCTGCCCACTTCCCTAATGGAAAGTCATTGTCAATTTAGACATTACAGAACTCCAGGATTTCAGACCGAAGCTCGCAGAACGTGGTCAAAGTAGATCTCCATTTATGGCTGGATTTATCAAAAGATATACCTACAATTAAATGTCTGTTTTAAAAGCTTTTCCTCTCCAATCAGGCAAAGAAGGCACTCTAAATCTCCTTTCATTCACCGGATGGAAAGCCTCCTGTGTTTACAAATGGACATGTAGAATTAGACAGGCCCAGAAAGTACTGGTGAAGCTCACACAGCCACCAGGTCAGAAGGGTAAGAGTACTCAGTTGCCATAGCAATACTCAGTGGCTGAGTGCCCCGGATGGAAAGGTGTGAAATCTTCAATGGCTGCCTGAAGATGGCATTAAAGATGGCTTTTCACACCCTCTCTGAGGCTGTCTCACTTTACTACCTGCATGTAACCAAGGCAACCAGGGCAAGGACAACTCAGGATCAGTTGGGGTTTCTGCGAAGGTGGCCCCGCCATGCTTCATGTCTGTGCCTCGCCATAATTCAGCAAACATCATCAATCATAATCTAGAAGAAGTGCACGGCAGACTGCTCATGTCGCTGGATCAAACAACAAAACAACGGTGGAGTGCTGGCCTCCACAGCTCCACAGAAACATGAAGAAATAATGGAAGACGCAGACTGGCAGAAACACACAGCTGGTCTGCCAAGAGGTCCATCTTTTAAGTGAAGCCACCAAGCACAAACACAAACACAATGGCCCATTGCTTCGTCTCTGCATCCCCTTTCCCCCTCTTCTTCTTCTTCCCCTTGTGTGTCTCTCTGTTTCCCTCCTCTGTCTGTTTCTCTCTGAACGAGCAGCTCTAAGATGCTCCCTGAGTTGTCCTCTGTAGACTGTATTTGTGTTTAATTGGATGAAAAGATGATGCATAATGCGCAAGGAAAGAAACATGAGGGAACCAAAGTCCATGTCGCCTGCAGCAAAAGAAACCAGCAGCTATTTGTTGTTGACATTTTTCTCCTCTGTTTTTTTTCTGCTCCATTGAAACAGCGGCAACCTCATGTTTTTTCATGCATTTAGGGCTTCTTCTTCTTTTTTTTACCCTCCATCGCGGCCTGTGTTTGGTGTAAAGTTCCCAGGCACCACAAGATTTCACTCTCCACTGCCACACACTCAAGAGTGAGTGTATGTGTGATCGAGTACATGTGTTTGTGTGCGCAGCATCTAGCAGTGTACTGATGTCTGAAGTATTAGAGAGGCAGAGCTTTGATGTTAGTCTATGTAAAAATAATATATCCAGGGTGTCTCCTTCAGGGACATGGAGATACATAATGTTTACTTCCATTACAAATAACCTGCGGCAGCACTGAGCTGGAACCAGAATACTGACTTCTGTCACAGTGGAGCCGAAGTACTAATGACTTTAACAAAGTAATTTGTTATTCAAGAAACACGCCAGTAAAGTTGAGAAAGAAAAGAAACATACTCTATACAATCCATCCATGTGAGCTGTAAAGTTCCTCTGACCAATACTAAAGAGAGCATGGAGAAGCATAACATAAAGCTCCACAGAGAGGTGAGAGCTTTGTGCTTGTTCATGAAGTCTCTACAGTTAACACACCTCTTTCCCGCATATAGCAGCCTTTGTTAGCACTTAGTTCTTGCTGTACTTTATCTCCCAGCAGCCATTTGGACTGACAATTCCCAGCATAGCCATCTGTGGTTGCTGGGAGATATTCACGTCTCTGTGCTTTCATGGTTCCAGTTATATTCAAAAGATGAAACTACGACAGAGACGGAGAGGGAGAGTGGAAGAGATAAAGAGCGAGACACTAGTCGGATAAAAGAATGGTTTTACATAATTAAGCAGATAGAAGTGATTACAGCAGCTTATCCACAGAGCACGAACTGCGCACATTCAGCCTCATTATGAAGTTAAGGACTCCAAACTGTGGCTGATGGCTTAATTACAGTTCCACAGTGGA